AAAATATCGCGTCAGAAAAAAATCAAAATTCTCGTAAAACAAAATATCCTGATCAACAAAAAAGTCAATAATTCGAATTTTTAATTATTTCACTAAATTTTTACTAAGAAAGCTGATTTTTGCTCTGGCAAAATGTTGCTCCTCTGATTTTTCCGAGTGCCTCTTCCTTTATTATTAGTACAAAACCGCCCGGACAGATGGCTAGTTATTACTAATGTTGATGCTGATGTTCTCCCACATGCACAGTACAGCTAATCCCGACTCTTCAATCCTCCGCTGTATATCTTTAGTTAAAATCCACTGCCTCTAAGATAAATGCAGATTCCATCCGTCTGAGTTCAAGTGACTTCTGGTAAACAGTCAAAAATACTGGCAGCGATGGGTCATCCGATCGTTTAGGCACCCAAATGGAGGAGGAATATGACTTCTTGGGGCTAAGCTGATTGTAGCGTACAAGTTTAGATCCTAGGAGCTTAGGAGGAGAAGGCATGGGGTAAAGCAATTACAAATTTTTCATATCTTTTAGGGGCAAGCTCACATTTGTCTGAAATACCTTTGATGCAGTTGAGATTAGCATCCACTTCATCAGCACCATCGATACAAAGATCCAAATCGGGAGTCTTCTCGAGATCACTCACTTGTAGGCCAGCATCATTCAGCCATTTTCGAGTGGAGAATGAGGATGGCACACAGACGATATCTTTCAGTGCCCCGGCTTTTGTTCGTTCAGCCAAGAATTCCACAAAAAATCTCGCCGTTGTACCGCTTCCGACACCAATTTTGTACCCGCTACGTACATGCTGCTCACCGGCTGCAAATGCTGCTGCACGTTTCGCTGCATCCAGTGCTGAACGTGTCTTCATTGCATCCTGTAATATTTTAACATCGAAGAGCCCAAAAACTTGAAAAAATGATTCTAAGCTTACGATAAGCCTAGCAGAAATAAAGTATAAGAAATCTAGAGAAATTTTAGTTTGAAAATCTAGGATTTTAAATTATGTTTGAGAATAAACAAGACGCATCGGGGACACACACACTCTCACACACACACAAGCACACATATACATAAACACAAACACACACACACACACAAACATATACACACAAACACATACAGACACAAATACATACACACACAAACACATACACACAACCCCGTGACAATATGCATTTTGTGCAGCTGCTGTGCAGCACAAAACGCATAAAAACCAGGAATACCAAGACCGTCTGGAAAGTCATTATCTGCATTAGTGATGTTACTGGGATACTCCCACACGCCAAGTACAGCTATGCCAAGCCCTTCGATTTCGAACTGCTTACTTTCAGACAGTATATCATAAGTCCCTGGTCCACAAAGATCTAGGAGTGGTGTCGTTAAAAGAGAGGCAATGATGCTGCAAGGATATCTCAAAACGGCTAAAAGTTTAGTATTTCGCCGTGAGCTATTAAATCTTCGGGAAACGAAATAAACGTCAGAATCACTAGCAGCTTTGGCCAACAGACAATGCAACATTGGTCAAAGCAACTGGGAAGGCTACTAGCTGCATAATTGAAGAAAACAATGTCATAAACTGCAGATGATCAACGCATCAAGACGTACGTCATTATTATTCATTATTATTATTATTATTATTATTGTTATTACTACTGCTATTATTATTGTTATTATTACTATCAGTATTACTAATAGTAATAATAACAATAGTAATACTAATAGTAATAATAACAATAGTAGTAGTAGTAGTAGTAGTAGTAGTAGTAGTAGTAGTAGTAGTAGTAGT